AATTCGCAGTATGGAATGTTGTGCTGCCGTGACATCGTCATTCGTTTGCTCAGTAATGTTTACAAGATTTTTGCTTCTAACACCAGCAAGCTGCCTGTTGTTCCAGACCTTGTATAATTGACATAGCAGGGAGGCAGTTCCCACACCTGGACCATACACTGAGGCAAATAAAATTATAAATTTAATAAGGCTTCCACTTATGAACGACACATCAAGAGTCACATGTGAAAATGGCATATAAGCTTTTTGTAAACAAAGCTTTGTAAGCCCTTTTCTCATTAACCGAGGATGGTCGACGCAAACCAACAACATCATCGGGAAGGAGAAAGTTTCCCCTACTCGGTGATGTTTATGGTTTGCGTTAGAGTCACATGGGTCATATGTTGTTCTTGACATATGAAATTCATAAGCGTGACTTTAATGATTTTCGTCTAACATGAGGTTGCTCTTATAGCGGCGCCGGTGGTGTAGTGGTAAGCGTGATTATCTCTCACCCCAGCAGGCCTGGGTTCAATCCCAGTTGGCACCGCCGGGTCAACATCGGGTTGAGGTTTGATAGAAGTCAGGTTGGTGTCGGCTTGCCTTAGATTTTTCGCCGGAATGTCGACCAGAGCTAACCCCTCTTGTGATGAAAATTACACATCGATCTTTAAAAAGATGTCTTTAGGAAAAGCATCAAAATTCGCATTTTCCTACGCTTTTGAATACCATACAGTCAATGCAACATATATTATATGAGTGTCAAAATATTATGCACCCAGCCTAAAATATGCAGCCATTCTTGTAAATCTCTAAGCCACGTCTCTCCCGATTGAAAAGTGCTACTCCCGTCATAACACTGTGCACCAGTGATGCAAAATATCATGACACTCACGTGACACTCGTCTACCCATTAACCGACTATCGCTGACAGATCGTTTTGTCACGCAGTGAGAGGTAGAGCCATGGCAAACAACAATCACCAGTAATGGTCGCTGCTCACAAGCAAAACGTTACACTCGCTGCTGATGATGAAAAGCACAACGAAAACAGTGAAGACTTCTGCAGTACGATCATGAGAAAAAGCGAAAAGACAGAATAAAATGAAAACAATGCTTACGCATTCCAAGTTCGTCTCGGCAGGCGCGACTGTGTGAGTTACAAACAAAGCAGACAACATTAAACGGAAGCTGTTGGGCTCACTCACCAACACACTCACATAAGCAAGCAAAGCAGCAACTGCTTCAAAACGAGCATAGATGAGTGTCGTGATTGTCGGGAATGACCAGATCGGTTATGGATCACAACCGAAGACGACATTCACCAGTTGCTTTTTACTTCTTTCGTCAACTTGATGGATGGTCATGGAGATAGCTTCGACGAGCACATTGATAGGAATGTACAAAGCGTTACTACCATCAGCTGTTTGACGATCGCCTCTTCGTGAAGAGTGAAGAGCGAAGAGTGGGTGAGATAAATGACAAAATCGCTTATTGCGACTCTCATGCAGCAACATTGGCTGGTATTCCCGAGCAAAGTCTGAGATCAAATTGAAATCTAAATTTGATGTTGTGATTTCGGTGATAATGATAACTCAAGTTGCTGTCGCTTTGACATATCAAAATTGAGAGCAAACAAATCTTCCTGTGACATCACATTGAAAACTATTTCTGCTTTCAGTGAAAGCAAACTGAAAATTAAATTTGTTATCAATTTTTCCGGTTGATAACAAAACAAGTATTCAATTTGTTGTTATGCTAAGGCAATGAAAACAAACCCGCAACAACATATTTTTGAAGAGCATATGTACAGCAAAATGAAAACAAAATTTGGTATCAAATTTGTCCATTGCGTAAACTGAAATCAAATTATGATTTCAGTTTGATGTTGATATCAAAACTTGATTTCAATTTGCTGTCATTTTGATGCTGGACTTTGCTCGGGTTATGTGTCAAACATAATCTCCACAATCTTTTCTTGTTGCATACACAAACAAAATATTATTATAATATCTTATTATTCCATAATTTCATAAAACATTTGTTTAGCCAAAATGAATGGAAGGCCCAGTATTTTTCGATAGGTCGGAGTTCTGGACAATTTGGCGGATTGATGTCTTTGGGCACAAAATTGATATTGTTCATCCGATACCATTCCAATACCGATTTTGCATAGTAGGACGAGGCTAACCCTGGCCAAAACACTGTTGCTTCAAAAATGATAGTAGACGTTTTTGGAGGCGCTCATTTAGCTAAATTTCTTAATTCACAGTTCCGGTTGAGACGAAAATCTCACTTCGTTTACCGTAACTACAGATTGCTTGCCAAATCATAAATGTTTTGGCAAACTTCGAAATTTTTTCCTGATTAAATATATCTGTCACATCAAATTTATCACGGGCAGTGAAAAATTCCAATCTCGATAATTGTAGAAAGTCAGCTTTGACGTTTGTTTCCTTATCCATTACACAGCAATCAAATTTGGTTAGAATTTCCAAATACAGCTTTCTTGCGCGTGTTATGGCCACCAAATTCTGCCATTCATCACGATTGGGGAACTTCTGGACCTTGTACGTATGTAATTCAGCACGACCTTTCACTTTCGGGACATAACTTTTTGAAACATCCAACTTTTTAGTCACATCCTTACCGAAGCATTCGGATTACTTTTGAATGCACATTTTTACCTAGGATATGAGTATTTAAGGGGGTTAGATTTGGATACGTCTTTAGTGGGAATGACACTGATGAAGACTCCACATTGTAGTCGAAATACGTATCTGTCATAGATACTTACCTTACTAATCAAGCTAAGGCCTTGATGTCCTCTGCTGTGCGAAGAAGTCGTCTCCACTCTACTCGATCCATGTGCCTCTTCTTCTTGTTCATGTTGTTTCGCTTTCTAAAACCATTTTCACTGGGTCGTCGTGTGGCATTCTTACAACGTGCCCAACCCACCGTAGTCGCTCAATGTTTGCAATGTGGACGATTGATGGTTCTCCCAGCAGCTGGTGCAATTCGTGGTTCATTCGCCTCCTCCACGTTCCTTCATCCATCTGCACTCCACCGTAGATGGTACGCAACACCTTCCGTTCCGTTGGTCCTCCACGAGCATAGTCCAGGTCTCGTGGCCGTAGAGGACCACCGGTCTAATCAGCGTCTTGTAGACAGTCAACTTCGTGCGGTGGCGAATTTTATTCGACCGGAGCGTCCTCCGGAGTCCAAAGTAGCCATAATGCGTCTTTGAATTTCTCTGCTGGTATCATTTTCGATACACGAACTCATCGACCACCTCGATTTCGTCACCGTCAATCTGAACTCGGGATGGGAGGCTAACATTGTCTTCCCTAGAACCGCTTCCTTTCATGTATTTTGTCTTTGATGCGTTGATGGCAAGTCCAATCCGCCTAGCTTCAGCCTTCAGTCTGATGTACGTTTCCGCCATCGCATCGTCTCAAAGTTCCGTGCCATGATGTCAATGTCATCGGCGAAGCCAAGAAACTGGATGGACTTCCTGAAGATCGTGCTACTCGTGCCTATCCCAGCTCTTCTGATTACACCTTCTAACGCGATGTTGAACAGCAAACACGAAAGTCCATCACCCTGCCGTAACCCCCTTCGAGATTCAAAGGGACTCGAGAGTGTTTTCGATACTCGAACAACGCACATCACTCGATCCATCGTCGCCTTGACCAATCGCGTCAGTTTATCCGGAAATCCGTACTCGTGCATAATCTGCCATAGCTGATCTAAATAGATCTCTGTCATAGATACCAAAATGAATTAAGTGGAATTAAATGGAAGATAACCTTTTTTGCCGTTTTATTCTGTTGGACGTTTTAGCTTACTGGACCTGATTTTCGACCTGCACCGGGCTTGTGTTCCATGGTCAAACGTCCGTCAAACCGTTTTAACACTCTTGAAACAGTAGTATGCATTATCCCGAATCGTTTCCGAGTTCGCAGTAGGATAATGTGTGCGAGCAATATCTTTGCACGGTTGCTTTGTTCAATGTACAATTTCAAATTTACAGGATGTAAAAAATACACATTAAAGTATAATGCAACAAAATTTGATAATTTTTTTTTTATCGTATGCAGGATGAGTTACGGGCAAATGTCAGTGATGCAAAAATTACGTGGACATTAGGTTTTGAATCTCTCAAGATCTGCCCTCTTTTCACGTGCAACTTTCACTGATTGATAACTATTAATTTTCCACACAATAAAACAAAATCAAACAACCTCATTTTGATAATCTCATTTATGACACTGATCATCTACAAGTAACCAAAAACCACTAAAACTACCCCACTGAATAAGCCACAAAACAAAGCCGCAGAGCATACCGAGCAAATGGGGGGCAAGGCAATTCCCAAGATACCCACCGCGGTGGCCAATTTTCGTTTGTCCACGCATACACACACGCATCGTTCTGACAGTTAGAGGAACCAACCACCCACCTTTCCTCCAAGAAACCCGCTTAAACTGCTCTCCAGCTTTCGGTTCTGTTTCTGAAATTGTGCCATAACTATTTGCTTTATTAGTCGTAAAAAACCTATAAAATCTGTTTCCACGCTGCCTCCGATGAACTGACGGCGCGGCGAGACGGGGTGAGCGCTTTAGTGTCTTTTCCTCTATCTCTTTCATGGCCGATTTCTATGTAATGTGCTGAATTGGCCGCACGCTCTGCCTTCTTTTCGCTCGGAAGAAACGATACGGTAATGGCAGCATTATTATGTGTTATGATATTTAAATGGGCATTCCATACCCCCGAAATCCAACAACTAGCCAATTGACAGAAACTGTCGGAGGGGAAAGGTAGAGGGTAACATGCGTGCCAAAGAAGGAGGTGTAACGCAACAAGTGTTGATGGAGCGAAAAAATTGATATTTAAACAAACATAGAGTCATAACCATTTCCGCATATAAAAAGCGCTTGAGATTTACCCACCATGTTAGCTGATAATATGAAGAGGAACATATTGCAATCATTAAACTTCCCCTTTCCTTTGCGTTTACAGTCCTGTCGCTGAGAAACACCCAGGAAGAGGAACCCCCAGATCCTCAACTGATGCGCTTGGACAACATGTTGATCGCGGAAGGTGTCGCTGGACCGGAGAAAGGCGGTGGTGCAGGTGCGGCGAACGGTAAGTTGCCCTGAAGCACGTTATTTATTCATCCATATTTTCCGTTCAAAATCCCCGACAGACTTTATGTCGCAGTCGGACCTTCCCGGTCAAGACAATGCCATCGAACACTCAGACTATCGGGCTAAGTTGGCGCAAATACGCCAGATTTACCACCAAGAGCTGGAGAAGTACGAACAAGCATGCAGCGAGTTTACCACGCACGTTATGAACCTACTTCGCGAACAGAGCCGTACCAGGTGGGTGTAAAATGCTTTATTTACGACCGGGCTAGCGGAATAAATGACAATCTTCTCCGTTTGTGTCTTCATTTAGGCCCATCACGCCGAAGGAGATTGAGCGAATGGTGCAAATTATTCACCGGAAATTCAGCTCCATTCAGATGCAGCTGAAACAGTCCACCTGCGAAGCTGTTATGATCTTGAGGTGAGTGTTGGGTTTTGGTGAATGATGTTATCTTTTCTTTCCGCATAGATTCGAATCAGATTGGTTCACCCTAATTGAAGTTTCTATTAACCCATTATCAGCAATCATTTGAAAAACGATTGATTTATTTCGTTGAAACACCAAAGATTTCAGAGAAATTCAAACCAGTTTTTACTCCCATGTCTGTCTCGTAACTCCTCAGAATTCTGCAAAGGTAGTCAGGGACCCTCGTTCTATTGAGCAATTTCACCAAACTTATGATTTTAAATTGGCTCAGTACTTGACTAGCCCATTGGTCCCATGCACTGGCAACGAGATTTTTTTACAAAAAAAAAGTCAATTTGAAAAATTTCTTATGACCTTTTCCACTCCCATCCTCGTACTAGAAACTGTAAAAGTTTGTGTTTGTTTTAATTTGCCTTATAAATTTGACAGAGTTTGATAAGGAGTTCAAGGAATTGCCTAAGTTTCGGAACCGAAGGTCTTCTACTTCCTGAGCCAAAAAATTGAGCATGTTTCTTCGGGACCCCCAAATGTTCTTAGTGTTAATCTATGGTTCCATGTCACATGACGAATCGATCCGACGCGACCTTCTCCGATTCGCATGAAACTTTGTACAATTGTTTGCTATGGTTAATTATTCACATTTGAGCTAAAATTCGGCTATTTTGAATCTCGCAAAATACTTCAATGGTGTATTTGAAAATTTTCAACAAAATGTAATCATAATTTGAACACGTCTCTTCCAATCGAAATTCCGTTTCTGTTGGAAAAAATAGTAAATTTTTAGGAAAAATATTCATGGTGAAAAATTTCAAGTAATTTTGGGTAAAAATTCCGAACAAGGGTTTATAGTAAACCTTAAATAACAAAAACTAACTTCTACAATGTTTGAATATATTCAGTAAAAATCTTGTAGAAAATTCTATTTTCTGTGAAATTTTCAAGATAGACAATTAAAAATACTAAAAATTATTGAACAACAACTTTTGGGCAATTTTTGAACTTTTTGTTTTATCAATCTTTTTGTGAAATTGTATGATAAATATTTTCGGCGGCGGCGTGATATGTTGTTTTCTGCCGCCGGCGGCGGCGTTGGTCGGCGTGAGTTTATTTGGGTCACTCAAATTATGAGTAAATTTTCCGACACCTTCCCGGGCAAAACTTCTCGAATATGGGGAAAATTTAAAAAAAATTGTACACATGTTAGAAGTGTACTAGTAGGCAGACTAAAACCACAATCAGTTTTCCTCATATTCGAGAAGTATTCCTCGGAAAAACGTCGGAAAATTTACTTACTCTACAGGGCTGGTAGCGAGTCACTTTTTAGTGACTTGGTCACTTTTTTCAAGCCAGTCACTAAAAAGTCTCTTTTTTTAAGGCCAAGTCACTAAAGTCACTTTTTCTTGTAATAAGTCACTATTTCAAACTTTTTTAAAAGTGAATTTATTTCAAGATTGATCATTCTTCTGGATTGGCCTATATTTTGTTCTATTTTTTGAACAATTCGACCTTGTTTTTTTTTTACGTTTAATCATTCTTCTCTATCTACAAGATGTCCAATCATTTGGCTAAATAAAGTTCCCTGAGTTTTTCAGGTTTTTCCATAAAATGTGTTAAAAATATGTTTTTAACGCAAACGTTTTTAAGACATGACAATCAGTTCAAAAAAAAGCTTTAGCTCAAATCCATTAAATGTTGAAGTTGAACACTTACTTCATTTTAGTAAGTCTAAGATCACAACATTTTTAATGTCTTGACGTTTCGTACTATCAAAAATGTGGAAACTTTAATGGAGTTCTATTGATCTCAGAAAAACTAGATCTAGAGATCTTTGGGGAAATCCAGAGATCTTAAGGGGAAGTCCCCAAAACTTTAGCCCAGACTATTGAATTGGATTAAAAATCGATAACCGTGAGTTTGGACAAATTCTGGATAGATCCATGAGGTGCTGAAATAAAATCGAGAACCCTTAAGATGTTCCGAGAGATTCAGTATAGACCCTTAAGAAATTTAATGAAAACTTCAGAAATATTTCAAGAACTTCACAGAAATCCAGAGAATTCCAGGGAAGTTTAAAGGTGTTTACGAGAATTCATTTTATTTCAAGCAGAACTGAAATCTTCATTAGATTTGAGAGTTTTAGGGAAGCTCTGAGAACATGAAGACAGATCAGAGAATCAAAGGGCAGTTCGAAAAATTCGGTTTGTTCAGAGAAAATTTCTGGAACGCAATAAAAATTATATGAACATCCGGAAAATGTGAGAGTATTTCAAGAGGGTTATATCATGGGAATTTCAAGATCTATTGAAAATTCGGAAGTTTAGCTAAGTTGATTAGAGATCATCAACGAAGTTCCATTAATTAAAAAAACGAGAACCGATATTTTCAAGAAATTCAAGAAAACTTCTAAGAAATTTAGATATTTTTGATTGTTTCATTATATTCAATTAAATTCTGAGTACTTCGAGGACGATAACATTTCCCATTAACTTAAGGAAATTTGCAGCGACTTACAAGGAGTTCCTTGGAATTATAGGATATTCCAAGAATTCTATGATTGATCCGAAATTTTTAGAAGCTTCAGGGAATTATATAGATATAAATATATATCAGAAAATTTACCGGAACATTTGATCAATTTAGAGAAATTAAGGTAAGCATAGAAAACTTCTTACAGGGAAAATTAGTGATTTAAGGCAAAATTCCGTGAGCTTTTATAAACATAAGGAAAATTGTATAACTTAAAGGCAATTTAATCAATTACAGTAAAATGGTGGGTTCTTTAAAAAATACTAAGGCAGGGCACTCTAGAGAATTTGAAGGAAATTGAGAAATATTTTGGGCAGTTTTAAAAACATCAGAAAACTCTAGACTATTGAAGAAGTTATGAATTAGTTTCGATGATTTGAACTTCACACAAATTTTGAGAACTTCAGTGAAAATCATAGATTAATTAGCTGCGGAGCGGAAGCCTAAAGAAGTTCCTGAAATTTCAGAATAACTTCGAAAATTACACAGAAGTACAGAGATCCTCAGAAACATTTCAAGAACTTCATAAAAGTCTATGGAACCTAAGGGAAGATCCGAGAACTTCAGGAACTTTTATGAACATTTCGGGAGCATCTGTTTGATAAAGCTCCAAAAACAAAAGGAATTTCAGGGGGGTTCAGTTCAATTACTTTCACTAAATTAGCGGGAAATTTCAAAAGTTCCCAGATTTTCAGAGAACTTTAGAGATGTTAAGAAAATTATTGAGTTTTTAACATAAGTCCAAAAGTTCATGCAAGCTTAAACATTTTTAGAACAGTTCAATTACATACATGGTAATACAACAAGGTTCATGAGAACTTCAAACACTTCAGAGAAGTTTCGAGAACTGCGAAAAAGATATTGATCTCGCTAATAAAGCTCTAAACAAAAAAAAAAATCAAGAAAGAACAGGTATCCTCACAGCAGAGATATTCCAGAGCAGGGAAATTACATACATTTTAAAAAAGTTTCTAGAAATTCAGTGCATTGTTAACACTTTAGAGAAGATTCATGATCGTTTGGAGAATTGTGGAAACTTTAGGAAGTCCGAAAAAGTTTAGAGAAGTTAAAAGAAATTATGAGAAGTATTGCGCGCTTAAGGTTATTTTCTCAAACTACAAAATAACTTCCAGGCAGTTTAATTAAATTCAGGAATATTTAGATTTTTTCCCAGAACTCCCGTGGAATGAGGTCGTTAGAAATTATAATAAAATTCCATGAGCCTTTAAACTGTTCAAGGGATTTGACTCCAGATTCTTGAAAATTTCTTGAAGTATTATAACTTTTCAGGTAAGAATTTATAAATTTGTGTATTTGTTTCTGAAGATAAATCCATTCTGGATCTATAAAGTTCAATGTGTGAATGAAAATAACTAGGAATATTACATGTTTTTATTTTAAATTGCATTCTTAGTAAGAAAATTATTAAATTTCATGAGTAATGATAAGATTCCCTGCGAATTCCCGGTTTTCAGTTTTTTTCAGGCAGTAGACACTTGGAGGTTTAGTCATAAACTTTCTATTGCATCTTTCGCTTTAAAGGTTCCTATCGTACATATTTAAGTGTTTTTGAGATTCTAATTGAGTAAGTCTAAAACATCAAACATTCATTTGGTATGCCAATCAGAACGATTAATTTTCTTCCCTTAGGTCACTTTTTAGTCACTTTTTTACAACTTAAGTCATTATTTGGTCACTTATTTCTTCAATATGGTCACTAAAATCACTATTTGTGACAGCATTCATCGCTACCAGCCCTGACTCAAAAAGTGACATACATTTTCGCGAATTTGAGTAACATGAACTCAAATATGAGTAACTCTTACTCAGTTTTGAGCCGTTTTCATTGGCTTTGCGCGCGGAATTTGTTTAGAAAAGTATGTCAAGTACTTCTAAAATTGCAGGAGGTGGAGTCGTATGGCAAAGTGTTACAACCCTTTTATTAAGTATAAGAAAAGTACGTTATGTAGGGGTGGATAGTATTTAAAAGCAATCTGTTGTATAACGTAACATTTTAATGGGTCCTAGGAATTCTTTCATTTATTGAGCATTACACGTTATTAATATGTTGATAGCGATACATTATATGCTTTTATTACTTTGGTACATATTTGAATCTACACGCATTGCAGTCATGTAACTTTGTGTTTATGTATTTGAAGATGATGTCTTTCGGATATACGTAGAATCCCGCACAACTTGTAAGAGATTTAAAAAAGCTCAAATATCATCGTGTTGTTAATAATAGTCACTTATTCACCTTTATGTTAATCCGATCCTCGTCAACTCTATTTTTGCAAATGCTGTAATCGTCATGAATGAATATTGTTTTGTCCACATTGTTAGGGTGGATGCCTGACCAACGTGCAGATACGGTCAGCCCAGCTATGTTAAAAATTCGTTCACTTTGTGAGGTGACGAACGAGCCACTCTAATAAAGAAAAAAACTTCAAGGGACAGCCCTATAG